CTGTCATCGATACCCATCGACCTCGGCTCACTTTCGCGTCGACTTGTTTGCCCTAGGTGGTTGAGCACGCCTCGACCGCCCGACCCCGCACATGCCCCCCACCAACCTCATTGCAAGATATGCCCAATCTGATTTCACTACTACTCTACTACATACACAAACTACCCCCTTGCACAATCTCCAATTCACAGCTGCAGTATTCCGGAATCCGAGTTCTGCCGGCTCAGGCTCAAGCTGTTGGCCCTGTGTCCCTTCGATGCTGCTGACCACCCCGCCCCGGGCCCATCTCCGACCCCCACTCCCCACCATCGGCACCCACAACCACCACACCCACGCCACACGTACTCACCACTCTTGCAAACATAGCCACTCACTCCCTGTCTGCCGATACGCACATCAGCCGACGCCAACCCGTCAACAGCATCACTGCCGACCGCCGGCTGCTCGCTGCTGACCGCCGCCCGCCGCCGACCGACCACCGCCGGCACCACCGAGATCAAGCTAGCCATCGACAGGGCATTGGAGACGATGCATACGGATAGCCACATCAATGGCAATGACGACCAGTTGGCCCTCCAACCCACTCTTCCCCTCCCTCTTTCGGCGTTGCCCATCACAGCCCCCGCCGGCCTGCTCATCGCCAGCCGCTGCTGCCGCCGACCACCGAGCCAGACGACGAGACCACCGGGCTGGCCAAGACAAGGAAGAACAAGAGAGCGCCAGTGCAAGCGTTAGGCAATGCAGTGGTGGGCTAGAGTGCAGTGGTCTGCCTCCTCCTCCAATCGCAAGCCCTCGTCTCCATCGACGTCCATCTCAATCCAATCCGTCCGCCCTCCTCCCCCTGCCGCCCAAGCCCCTCTACCCTCATCTTTCACACCCCCCACACACACCCATCATTCTCATCGCACCCACCAACATCAATCCTGAAGCTCAATCGCCATACCCATCATCCTTCCGCCCGTCCCGCCTCCCACGCCACGACCCCCCTCGCCCCCCCCTATCATACTCATTACGCCCCATCACCACCAAGCACCACCCTCTCCCCCTACTCCACCGCTATCACCATCATCGCAGCCACAACTCTTACCCCTATGCCATGGCCATGCCCACCACCGCTTCATCGCCGAAGTTTTTGACCTAGGCTCCCCTCGCTACTGCTCACCCCTCCTCCCCGAGCCCATCTCCGACCCCACCCACGACCACCCAACCCACACCACACAATCTCGGAAATCTCTACAAGCATAGTCACTCACTTCTTTTTCGCCTATGCCAACCTTGGCCGACGCCGGCAACCAACCAGTTTTCACGCCCCTTCACCACAAAAAATACAACCTCCGCATCCGATGCACTTCTCTCTCCTCCCTGCCACCGGGCACCCCGAGCCCCACGAGCGGCCGGCACTTTACTTGGAGAGCGGAGACCCACCAAGCCAGGCGTTCGATGCCGATGCGCGCCGATGACGACAACGGGCGGTCCTTGGGCTTCCGATGTCAACTTGATCTCATGTGAACGCGAGCGTGCCGCTGCAGACAGGGACACACGGGCCACCGTGTCAAACTAATGGCACCACACTGGGTACTAGCGGCAGTAAGTAGATGCGAGGAAGTCTCAAGCAAGCCATCTAGTCAGCGGAGCGACCGCTCGGCAGTCGATCAAGCGTGTGTGCGTTGGATATTGGCCCCAGGCGAGGACTCCCTGTGTGGTGCGCCCGCCTTCCACTCCCGTTCCAACTCCATCTCTCTCCCGCTCCTCCCTCCCATGTTCCTCGTCCCCACCCTCCTCGCAATAGCTCTCCTCACCACTTCCACTCTTGCGCTACCGCCCCCGCCGCGGACGGTAGACGGCGCGTGTGCGACGCACGTCGGCGCGCGGGTGTTCACGACCACAAACTCTGGGCAGTATGGGGCAGCGGCGGTGGACGTGGACGAGGACGGGCTGGTGGACGTGGTGCTGACATTTTTGGGTGGACCCGGGGTCGTTTGGTTCAAGTCGCTCGGCGGTGGCGCGTTTGGGTCGGAAGTGGCCGTGGCCGGCATGGCGAGCTGTACAAGTGGGCATCCGGGTGTTGGCGACGTGGTTGTTGACGGCCGGTGGGACGTCGCTGTGCCATGCCGTTCTCTCAACGAGGTCTGGCTCATGGTTAACGACTTGGGGACGACGTTTACGATCGTCTCGCTGACCGGCAACATTGGGACGTACAACCCGTTCATGGCGTACCTCGTCGATGTCGACGACGACGGCGATTTGGACTTGTTCGCGGGCAAGCTTGCACACGCAGGCGTGTACTGGTGGGAGAACAACGGTGTGTATCCGTTTTCGCAGCGGACGCTCGTCTCGACAGCCTTTGCTAGTGAGATCTCGCTGCTGTTCGGCGACTATAACAACGACACGCTGCTTGATGTTGTCATGAAGCGAGACGATGAAATGCTGTACATGCACCTTAACGATGGCGCCGGGTCGTACACGCAGTCGCTGCTCTACACGCTACCCGCGGGCGCCAAGTTCCGCTTCCCGCCGCCCAACTCGCCGTGGTGGCCCTCGCGCGGTCTCGACTTTGATCACGACGGGTGCCCGGACTTTGTGATCGGCGTCGCGTCGCCAGGTATCCACTACGGCAACTGCGACGGTACATTCACCTTTGTGGCAGAGAGTGTATTTACTGCTTCCGAGGATCATCTAGCATTTGTCGACATCGACCACGACGGCGATATGGATGTCCTCGGCACCGTCTCGTGGTTTGAGAACCTGGCGCCGGGGTCACGTGCGATCAAATTCTCGGCAGCCAACGCGCGCCACACATCGTTTGGCACCGGCTCACCGCCGTCGTTCACGTACCTTGTCTTTGGCGAAACGATGAACCCGGGCGCCCGCGCCGTTCTGTTCCGTCCCGACAAGGTGGTCTCTCGAGTCGTAGCAGTCGCGTCGATCGGCGCAGGCATTTTTGATTGGACATGCATTGCGCCGAGTTGCACGGACGTAGGGTGTGTGACGGACGCCGTGGCCGCGGCGGTGGTCTCAGGAACGGACGCTGTCGTGGTGCCGCCGCGCACATTCTCGGGTGGCTGTCCATCGACATACGAGCCGCTGACGAGCGCCCAGGTGCGGCTCGTCTCCAACTCGAGCACGGTGCCGTTCACACTCGACTGCGGCGGCTCGGGCGTGCTGTTCTCGGTTGAGGGCGACGCGCGGCTGGTGATCCAGGGTATGACGCTTAGCCACGCCGGACATTCCGACTCGCTGGTCGATCCCGGACCAGCACTCCGCGTCGCCGGTGCGATGCTCGCCGTGAGCGGCTCCTCTTTCAGCGCATGCTCGACGGCCAGCGCGGCGTCGCCTCAGCTCGGTGGCGCCGTGGCTGTCGGTGTCGGCGCCACAGCGGTGTTTGAGGACGTGTTGTTCACGGGAAACACCGCGTCGCAGCACGGCGGCGCGGTAGGCGTGCTCGGCGCGAGCGCAACGTGCACCATGGTGAATGTGACGTTTGCGGGCAACTCGGCGGCCGTCGGGGGTGGTGCGTTGTACGGCGGCCTTTCGGGGAATGGGCTCAACGACCCTGTGCCACCGGCGACGATGATGTGCACCGGGTGTGTCTTCAGCGGGAACACGGCTCTGTTTGGTGGCGCAGTGGCGGGGTTTCCGGCGATCGCAGGCATTGCGTCGCTTGCGGCGTCGCGCTCACCGGCGCGCGTGTTTCCCATGGCAAGAGGCGCAAGCCCGCCATACGGATCTCCGAGCGCGCGACTGGCAGCCGCCCCGGTACTACTCGTGGCGTCGACGCTGAGCGGGAACTCGGCCAAGTATGGCGGAAGCCTCAGCATGTGCGATCTGACTCTCGGCCTTGCTGACGTGAGTGTGGCGAGTAGCACGGCAAGCCAAGGCGCGTTTGCGTACGTGTGCCTCACGTCGTCGAACGAGACGAGCGCGGCGTATTGGAGCCATCCACTGGTTGCCGCCGACGCAAGTGGCGCGCCGTGGCTTGCTGCCGACAGCGCGTCATGGGCGTCGCTGCAGGCTGCGCTAGCGACGGAGAGCGCACCGTTTTCGACGCCGCCGTACGAATTGGTCGTGCCGAACGCGGCGTCGCTACCGAGCCAGACGATGTCTGGCGTCATTTCGTCTTCGTTCGAGCTCGGCCTCCGCGACGCATACGGGACAACCCTCATCGACGAGGACGTGACGTTAACAATTGCCACGAGCGCAGTGGCAAGCGACGTCCGGCTCGACGTCTCGCTGTCGAGCGTAAGTCTGAGCGCGTCCGTGGTCGCCATTCCGGGCCTGATTCTGGAGGACCAGTCTGCGCCAAACGCGACGGCAGAGAACGCAGTCGGCGGCGCGCTCGGGTCAGTGGTCGGGCTCACCGCCGGCGTCGTCGTCGAGCCCGCGGCTACCCAGGCGATCGACAGCCTGGCGAGCGCGCCGCTGCTGCGGTTCGAGCACGCGGTGATGCTTGTGGGATGCCTCCCCGGATTTGGAAGGGTGAGCATCCTTCCGCTACGGTGCTCGCCGTGCCTGCCCGGCTCGGCGTCGCCGGACGAGTCAACCGCGACGTGCCAGGGCCGACATCGTGCCGTGCACCCGGCCCGGAGCGTGCGCCGGCGACAACGTGTGCACCCCCGGATACGAGGGCGTCCTCTGCGCCGCGTGTTCGCCCGGGTACTACACCGCATCGGACACGTCGTGCCGGGCGTGCCCGCCCCACTCGGCACTGCTCTTTGGTGTCTTTGTGATCGCTTGTCTCGCTGTCGTCTTTGTCGCCGTCATTTTCGCCGTCCGCTCGCTGGCGCCGCGGGCGCGGGCGTCCGTGCGCCCCAAGCCGGCCTCGTCGGACGATGGCCTCGTGCTCGTCACACGCGTAGAGAGTCTCTCGGCCTCGTCGGGCTCGTCGCCGATGGCACCGACGACGTCGTCGGTTGTACTCTCTGGCTCATCGTCGGCCTCATTGTCCTCGCTCGTCTCGTCGTGCACCATGTCTCGACCGGGTGGTCGGGCGACCTCGCGGCTTGCCGCGCAGCGGCGGTTGTCGGAACAAGAGGAGGAAGCGATCGGGTCGTCATCAGACGATGGCGCGAGTCTGGCGAGCGAAGTAGAGCGCGAGACGGGGCTCAAAAACGGTGCGCCGCACGCGCTCTCGGTCGGTGTCACCTTTCTGCAGGTGCTGGCGCTCATCGGCCAGACCGAGCTCTCGTGGCCGGCGTCCGTGAAGCAAACATACGAGGTGATCGGCTCACTTGTGGCGGTCAACCTCAACCTCGTGGCCGGCGAGTGTGCGCTGACATCGTTCTATATCAAGTATCTCTTTGCGCTCTCACTCCCGCTCCTATTTGTCATCACATCGCTCCTGGCCATTCTCCTTGTCAAGGCGCTCATCGCGCTGCGCGTGCAAGCCGGCTCGCCGCTGCGGATGGTCACGGTGGGTCTCATTCTTGAGCGCGTCCTTCTTGTGGTCTTTCCGCTGATTTACCTCCCTGTGGCTCTCACCTCGCTGCAGCTCTTTGACTGCACGGCGTCGGTGGACGGTAAGTACTACCTCGACGTCGACCCGTCCATCGCGTGCTTTGACAGCGCATGGTGGCTGGCGCTCCCGTGCTCGCTTGCGTCGTGTGCGCTTTTTGTGGTCGGCTTCCCGACGTACACGCTGCTGGCGGTGTACACGCGGCGGCGGCGACTTCGCGAGGCGCACGTCGTCGTCCGCTTTGGCCTCCTCTACTACCTGTTTCGCGATGCGCTGCCGTTTTTCTTCACCATCCAGCTCCTCTTCCGGCTTGCCGTGGTGGCGGTCATCCTCTTTTTCTCCTCGATTCAGGTCTGGCTCCTCACAGGGTGCATCGCGCTCTTTGGCGGCTACTGCGGCGTCCTCCTCCGGCACACACCGTTCCGGGCACCACTGTACAACCGCCTCGAGCTGCGGCTCAATCTCTCATCGGCGGCCATCATCATCGCAGGCATGGCGTTCTGGGCCGACGACTGGCCCAACGACACATCGCACACTGTGTTCACTCTCCTCACCCTTGCCGTCATCGCCTTTGCCCTCTCCCAGCTCATCTGGGTCGGCGGCCGCGAGGTCCTCCGCATGCCCTAGCCGCGCGTTGTTGGCATGCGTCGATAACTCATTGGGCGACCCAGCAAGGCCCTGCTTGCGGCCGCATGCTCGCCGATGTTGGCCCGCTGGCGATCTGTAGGGAAGCACCCACTCGCCATCACAGTAACAAGCAGCACTCCAGCCGCCAACAACTACTCTTCTTCGCAAAAGGTTACACTCTCCTCAAGCCATCCCAGACGCGCCACCGGCTCACTGGTCGAAGACATTGTTGTACGTGGCCGAGTCAACAACGCTCTCGGTCCTGGCCGCATACGTGACCGAGCCTACAGACGCAAAGAGGTCCAGATCCGGCGCATGCGATAGGTTCTTGAGCGACGAGCCGGCAACGGCGACAAAGGCAATCGAGAGTAGTCCGACCAGCGCCATGCATCCAGCCGAGAAAATAATGACTGTCATGACCGCCACGCCGTACGTGGTGAACGCCGACGGCACAAAGAGGAGCGCCGAGCCGACCACACCGAGGAACGACCAGAAGATCCCGATAAACTCGTGCGGGACCGTGGCGAGCCCAAGGTTCTGGCAGTAGAGATATATGGCAAACGAAGCAAACGAGAGGACAGCAAGGGCAAACGACGACTCGAGCGAGGTTAGCTCGGCCGAGAGGCTAAACGTTGCACCGCCAAGTAAGGCCGCGAGTACAGGGAGCGCAAACGAAAAGAAGACGTGCGCCTTCATCGGCGCGAGAATCACAGTGTAGAGCGCGGAGCCAACGAGGTAAACCACGTTGAGAATCGCTGCCTGGAGAAAGAGATTGGAGATGACTCCGCCGCAGTAGTTCTCGCGCGTCTTGATCGTCGTCGACGACGAGTGCTTCTCAGACTCGGACAGCGTGAGCGTCACGTAAATTACGTACTGGTACAGGAACGCCACCAAATAGATGCTCGAGGAAAAGACAAGGATTGGCGACCCGAAGAGTACCTTGACTCCGTCGATGAGATACCGAAGACCCGAGACCGGCTCGACGCTGGCTGCCGACGAGAGCGACTGGTACGAGAGCAGCGGCTGCGTCGCCAGCGGCCCGTTGACTGCCGACGCCGATGTGTCAACCACCGACGGTGCAATGAATTGGTAGTCGATTGTGCTCGAAAGCGCGAGAGTCGTCACCGTGAACGCCAGCGAGACGCCAAAGACGAGCCACTGCACGGCCCAAACGCCACGCCGCCGCGTGTGGCAAGCATGTACGCTGCAAACGTCGCCACCGCAATAAACGCCGTCGCCAGCCCCTCGCCAATGGCCTCGAGCTTGTTGATCACCACATGCTGCTCGTCAGGCATGCCGGGCATCTTCTGATCGAGATGGAGCTTGAGAACCTTGAGCACGCACGTCTGCGCCTGGATGTTGAGCGTGCCCAGAACCATCTGGATGCCGATGACCACCCACGCATTCTCCCAATGACCGAGAAACAGCGTCAGCTGCAGCCCAAGCTGACCAACCACACACGCCTGAAGGCACCGATGCACATAATACCCAAACGCGTCGGTCACAGGCCCAGTCAGCAGCTTACGCACCATCAGCGCCCCGGCCCGGATCCCATAGTACATCCCAAACACCTTTTCAAAGTCACACTGCACCCCATCGCCCACACCCATGTCCACATCAGCACCAACCCCAATTCCACCATTTCCCATAAGTCACCCCCCCCTCCCCCCCCCCGCCCCCCCCCGCGCGCTCCCTGCTCCCCA